AGAGAGAGACAGAAAAACAGAAAGTGAGAAATTACCCCCTAGGGGGGATGGCCACATGGCAATCCTTTCTCCTCCATTCTCCTCTCGGGATCTTGGGCACACACGCACACGCGCCTGGCGTGAGTTTTAAGCCACCGGGTCTGGGACGCAAACCGCGGTCGACTATGTGGGAGTCCAGCGACATAGCCATTATACTAACTGCTGGTCCCCCCGGTTCCCTTTCTAATAGATTTTTAACTTTGAGGATACAGATTATACTTTCGTTGGACTGTCTGTGTTTCCATAGCTATCAAATTATCTAAGTGCTTTATGCTCTTTTCCTCTTTATTAGCTATGATCATCTCAGAGTTTTAATCTGTACCTATAATTTCATTTTCACTAAGGGTTGTTCTATTTCTTGCTGTTTATAATTTGCTTGTTCTATAATATTGTTTCACTAGGTATGCTATATTGTTTTCCATCTTTATTTATTTATTTATTTTTTCGGTTTTTGGTATTGGACTTGTGCACTTACCAGACAGAGGGAAAGTGAGAATTCACGCCCCCGGGGGATGCCTATGCCACACCCTTCTCCTCCAATCTCCTCTTTGGATTTTGGATACTCTTTCCACACATGAGGAGGCAAAACCCCAGCCTTCATAGTTTGTGTGGAGCCAGTAACCAGACCCTGAGGCCTGTGCCAGAGCCAGGACCCTTCTCCTTTGTATGGGGTCTTCCAAAGTTCATGAAAGATGTGTGCTATGGAGAGCTACACACAGGTTCACTGTTTTTTTTTAACCATAAAACTCCTTCTAATTTAATTCCATCTTCCACAAACTATTCAAAGTCCTGTGTCCTGTTTGCAAACTTCTGACTGTCACTGATTAGGAGCTCCTGCTAAGAGGTTCCCAATCAGTGACAATCAGTTCCTAAGCAGAGATGCTGCCCTAGGGACTCCAGCTGGGAAGCACCTGACAGACACTGAAGCCAGGAGCAGTCCTGCCCCTCGGAGCCTCTGTAACCTACCAGTGCGCTCATGCTTGCTGTCTACGTGATGCTTCTAGCATTTTCGGGAGATGTTCTCAAGACAACAATAATTTTAAAACATTCTTTATATTGCATTTGTTCCAAAAATTTACTTCTATAATTAAGTTCTGTTTCCTATAATTCTTTATACCCATTCTGTCTCTGATACGAAGTGCTTTTCTATCATCTCTGAGCCATGAATGATAAGGATAAAGTTTACTGTGTGTGACAGGACTTCATAAAGTTCAGGAATAAATGGAGTTAAAGTACAAGTTTATTTTGGTGCAAAAATTTTTGAAATGCATGTGTAATTTTTTCATAATACGCATTTTCTATAAACTTTTTGAAGATGCCATGAATGTTTATTGTTTTTGGAAAAATGTGTCATACAAGAACTAGTTACCAAGAGCTGTTTATGGGTTGAATGCTCTTCTTACTGCCATAGAGGAGTCTCTAGTTCAAATATTTGTAGCAACCTGTTACCTTTGACTCTTCTAAAATATAGAATAGTTTTTCCTTTTTTTACTATTTTTGCAAGTGGGTATGTTCTCTTGTCATAGAGAGAGAGAGAAGTGAAGGTAACTCCCATGGGAAATGGTCACAGTGCAATCCCTTCTCCATCTGTCCCTCCTCTCAGGATTTTGGGCATGCACACACACATACCTGACTTTTTTTTTTTTTTCTTATTTTGGAGAGGTTTTTGCTATAGGGTACATGCGCTCGCCAGACAGACAGAGAGAGACAGAGAGACAGAAAGCGAGAAATCACCCCCAAGGGGGGATGGCCACGCCGCAATCCCTTCTCCTCCATTCTCCTCTTGGGATCTTGGGCACGCACGCACATGTGCCTGGCGTGAGTTTAAGCCACCGGGTCCAGGACTCGAACCGCGGTCGACTATGTGGGAGTCCAACGACATAGCCATTATGCTAACTGCTGGTCCCATGCCTCACATATTTTTCATGTCACCAGGTATGGGACTCAAACCGTAGGGGCAGCCATGTGGGCTCTAACTGCCTTAACCAGGCCATGGGGCCAGCATGAGAATAATTTTTAAATTAATTTTGCATATTTTGGTTTTGGTTACATTTCCGTTCTTTTTCTTTTTTACTAGTTTTATTTATTTATTTCCTTTGTGAGAGAGAGCCAGAGAGAGCACCCCAACAGGACCTTGATGCCATGGTCCTGCTCCAACTTCAGCCAGCCCTGGAGCATGGATACATTTCTGCGCATCATACCCAGGGCGGTCTCGAAACCAGAACTTGGAACCCTCCTATGTGGCTCACTGATAGAGTGTTGCATTTCACTGCTGCACCCTGTCAGGCCCTGCATTCCTGTTCTCAGTACCCCACTGCCATCTTGCCTACCCGTGTACGGGGGACTGTCTTAGTTCACTACTGAATGAATGATTTATAGAAGCAGGGTTATTTGACTGTTCCAGCCACAGTTCTGTTGGCCGGAAGTCCAAAGGTGTGGTGCTGGCCGGCATCAGGTTGATGTGTCACAGCCAGCCAATAGAAGCAGAGAGGACAGCAGGTGTGCAGAGAGACCTGGGGCGGCCATCTTGTAAAACACCTGCTCTCACAAAAACTAACCCTTCTCTCGGGAGCTGGAACTCGCCAGGTCTGCAAAACATCATCAGCCCCGCCATGGGGCAGTGCCTCCATGATCCAGACCTCCGTTTTCAATGGTCTCGCCACCTCCCAACACCCTCACACTGGGAACCAAATTCCCAAACAGGAACCTCTGGGGACAGACCATTGTCTAGGCTGAAGCAGGGTTTCCTTTTGCTGACTCATGACGTATGTAAGCCCTCTAGCTCTGGCTTCCTTCTCTACCCCACTGCGAATCTGCAGGGATCCTTCTGAGGAAATTTGGGAAAATCAGAAGACGGCAGTGATTATTAAACTACACTGATGAATAAAACCCACTATCATTGTGATGTGAAATGAGCTGTTGGACATGCCCTGACTGAATGCTGTCAGCAGCCTGTGAAGCTGCATCTGTGCATCGGTTCCCGGACTGCGAGGTCTCTGAAGGCAGGCCTCACCACCTCCAGAGCCTGGCGCGCTGTCTGCACAGAGCATGAACAGGCTGCCCCAAAGTGCTCCTGTGAAGTGCTGTTAGAGCACCAGTGTCAGAGTTTGCAGGGAGCACAGTGCTCAGTGTCAGAGCCCAGGGCCGCCCAGGGCCGCTTGGCCAAGGCTGATCCTGGCTCAGTGACTCAGCTTCCTTGGGTTTCCCTGAGGCCTCTTGCAGCTTCTGTGATCCGAGGTCTCATGTTTCAGATGTGTGGCCCACTGAGACCCTGGAATTCCAGGTTCTGAAGGACTGGCTTTGGGTTTTATTGTGTAGCCTAGAGGGATCCACAGGGGAGACTGGCCTGCCTGCCTTTCTTTCTTCCTTCTGTCCTTCCTCCCTCCCTGTCTCTCCCGCCTTCCGTCCTTTGAGATAGGAGATGGAATTGCAGATAACTGGCAGTCTGTTAGCTGCAGCTGAGCTAACTGTGCTTAATTTGGCTGAAGCTTATTTGCAGACATTTTAAGAAATAAATCTGGGAAACCATTTGTGAGTCTTTGCAGTCGACTTGGAGAAAGAAAATAGCTATATTTTAGATTTATTTCATTCTTTTTTATTATAATACATGCTTGTTGCAAAAAAGCTAGAACATACAAAGTAACAGTCCCCTGAATCCTACCACTATATTTTTTGGTGTATTATCTTCTAATATTTTTTTTTTCCCGATCCGTACATGGATGGATGGAGAGGAAGATATATAAAATAGGCGTTTAAATGAAAATTAAATTACACAAATTGTCCTTTTTTTCAGTTACGAAACAATATATAGCAAGCAAAATTTTCAGCATACATTAATTTAAGAATGCACCTTTGTTTTTAATATCTGTGCACTATTTCATAGCCTTGATGAATCATTAATTTATAAAACTAGTACTTTATTAATGGACATTAATCGTTTCAATTTTTTTCTCTCATATAGAGTGTAGAAAATATCCTTATCCATATATAGTTGTTGAGTTATTCCACAAGTATAAAGTTTTAGAGGGGATTTGAAACTATTCAAGTACTAGGTTTTTTTAATACACAAGCCAGAACTGTTTCTTATTCCCTTAAATCCTTGCCTGTTTGACAAGCAGAAAAAAAATGTTAACCTGTTAATTAGACTTTAAAATTATCAGTGACATGGGACCAACAGCTGGCGTAATGGCTGTGTCGCTGGACTCCCATCTAGCCAACCACGGTTTGAGTCCTGGACCTGGTGACTTAAACTCAAGCCAGGCGCATGTGCATGTGTGCCCAAGATCCCAAGAGGACAGTGGAGGAGAAGGGTTTGTGGTGTGGCCATTCCCCCTGGGGGGTGATTTCTCACTTTCTGTCTCTCTGTCTGTCTCTGTCCTTCTGGCGAGCACATGCGCCTTATAGCAAAAACTTCTCAAAAAAAAAATATATATAAATATCAGTTGACTTTGAGTATTTTTCATACATTTATTGGATTTTTTCCCTCTGAATTACCTGTTTATAATCTTAGTCTATTGTCTATTTTATAATATATAAGTGGCTCTTATGAATATTATATTATCTTATTGATTTATAACAGCCACTTATATATTATGAAAATTACCGTGCATTTCTCATACATATTTACAATAGTTTTTCCCACTCATTTTTCTTTCACTATTATCTTTTTTAACCAAACAAAAAATAATTGTTGTGTTATACTTATCCATTATTTAAATGATTTTTGGCTTTAATGTTTTTCTTGGAAAGGCCTTTGGACATGAACCCTGTATATTATGTAATAGTCATCTTAATTTTCTTCCACTGCTTTTATAGTTTTATTATTCTATTTAATATACCTTTCACTGTATCTCAGATTTTATTATAGAATAATATAGCAACTAGAAGACTAATTTTATTTTTTCCAAAATGTTCATTCAGTTATTTCAACATTTATTATTCGTTTTCTTGGTTTATGCAAGTCTTAATTTTTGCCAGACATGTGATGATTAGAAAGAAACAATATTTAAATGGACCTTACACAACGTTAATAAACTAAAGCTATTTTGTTTTAATAGAGATTTCATGGGAGAATCAACGAGCCAAAGATTCTAAAAAGGAGCATTTGCTCAATTCTGTGTCATCTGAGGGCGTCTGGAAAAACTACTCCTTAGATGACATTGAGAGGATCTTTTGCCAAGAGGTATGAATGTTTTCCTAAAGGCACATTTATCTAAAGTGTGAACATTGCAAAGTAGATAACTATGCAAGTATATTTCTAAGATCTCCTGGATCTACCTATATTCATTTTCTTCAGGCTTTGAGGAATCTCCTCTACCTCCAAATAACTGCAATACATGGATATTATTGGGTCATCGGAAAAGTCATGGCATATTTTTCTATATTTTTCTGTGCAAAAATGCATCATTACTTTTCCAATAACCCAATAGTACTGATGAGAAATGAATTTTTTAAGTATGTCATTTGTGCTACTCACGTACTAATTCTAAAAATGTTAAGACTTATATAAAGATGCTGGACTCCCTTGAAGTTGACCATTGTTTGAGTCCCAGACCTGGCAACTTAAAACTCATGCCAGGTGTGTGTGCCCAAAAATCCCAAGAGGAGAACAGAGGAGAAGGGATTGTGGTAAGGCCATACCCCCTGGGGGGTGATATCTCGCTTTCTGTTTCTCTGTCTCTCTCTCTGGTGAGCACACATGCCCTATTGCAAAAATTTCTCTCTCTCTCTCTCTCAAAAAAATAAAAAAGACTTATATGAAGAAACAATAGAACTTTGCTGAGTAACATAAAGGAAAACTTGAATTAGTGGAGAGGTCGTTTTAAACTGTTGGATTGGAAGATTCAAAATTAATGTTGGGGCCAGCAGGTGGTGTGGTGGTTAAAGGCGTTGGATTTCCACATGGCCAACCACAGTTCAAGTTCTGGATCTGGTGGGTTTCTTTCTTACTTTCCCTCTATCTATCTGTCTCTCTCTGGTCAAATTGGAAAAGAATAGTAATAAATAAATAATAATAATAAGTAATAGTAATAATAATAATAATAAATAATAATAAGTAATAAATAAGGTTAAAAAATTATGCCTGTTCTTTCTATGTTTGGATATACATGTGTGTGTATGTATATATATATATTTTTTGACCAAT